ATTCCTTGACTGTAGCAACAAACCAATAGTCCTGATGTGATATTCTCCCTGCGTGCCTGTCTCAGGGTCCAAATTTCCCCTCTCAGGAGGATACTGGTCATGGTAGATTAGCGGGTTCTACACTAAACTAGCATAATGTCAACTTAAATATGAAATTGCCCTATTTCTAACTAAGATCACAGAAGTAGCAGGGTTAAGACTTTAACATATGAATTTTGGAGGATATGATTCAACCCATAACACTACCTGTAACATCACATTTTTGTAAAAAGTTGGTATTTGTTATAGTTTTTTAAATAATGGCAGTAGAACAACAGCACTATCTTGGTAAGCAAACTATAGTTTGTAGTATGCTATTTTTGATATTTTAACTTATGGACATTTTGAAATATAGACAAAAATAGACCCAGTGACGTAAGGAACCCCCATGTTTTTACTTCTAAGTTTCAATATTTACCAGCTCAATGGTCAATCTTATATTTTATGTGTATATACCACTTTACAGTGTTTACAATATTTCTCATGACCTCCTTTTGTTCATGCACCAACTGCAAAAGCTAGGTTATGTAGTTTTATAGTAAAATTGTGTTACTAACAAATTGCTAATTTGGTATCAATGCCATTTTCGAGATATGGGAGAAAACTAAGAAAGGACGATGGTATGCCTCCATGCATGTTTTATTGGACTTCTGTGTATTCTAAATCATTAATAAAAGGAGAAGACAGGACACTGGCATGTTGCAGCTTCAGCTTTTATTCAAACTGCATGAAAGCATTTTACAAGAAAACTGTGAGGATAAATTGCTGGTTTCTAATTTTCTAGAAGGAATAAACTTGTTCCCAAATAATTCTATAAAAGTAAGAACTTTATTGAACAAACTACCTGTAATATCACATTTTTACACAATAGTTACAAATGTCTACATTTTTAAAAGCATCATAATTTAGAATAAATCTAGGCTAAGAATGATCTTTGTAAAGGATTCAAATGCATAAAAATAAACCAAATGAGCTATTAAATTTGTGGTTTAGATGTCACATACTGACAGTTATCAATGAAACTGTCAAGTATCCCCAGAATTTGAGGCTATTAGAAAATTTAACTTGATACCATATTTCCACATAATTGCACCTCATAGTTTCAACACAGAGGATTCATGTTCCTCTGTATGTGGGCATTGATTATCAACACTTTCACATCAGTGCAAATTAGTTGTGGTTCTCTTCACAGCTCAAACACATAGCTACATTGTTGTCATATAAATACTTACTCATCACAGCATATAGATTTTTTCCTTTCTTTCCTACTTGACCTAGAGTAACAAAAATGTCACCAAATGCTCATTTGAGGATCGTTTTAGTCATCCTAGCAAAACCCCTAGGCCCACATGTCAAATGGGATCAGTTCAAAACACAGTATTCTGGGGTTACAGCAGTCTTTCTGCTACAGAGATTACAGCGGCATATTACTCATCAAGGCAAAAATGTAAATGCTTTGTGATTATATGATACATTTTGTGCTAACTCCCCAAACGGGGAAATTTTTTTTTCACGTTTGTTTGTTTGAGGACAACCACTGAATACTGAAATGCAATAGCTGATGCCAGCGTTGCAAGGCTTCATTAGTACAGATGAAGCCATGCTCACTTTGTTACACAAATAATTAGAGAGATTAAATGAAAGTAAACACTGAGAGGATGAACAGAAGCTCTGAAGATAGGTAATTATTTTAATTACTCTAGTGACTTCCTCCAACCTTCATTATCAGCCACAGACAAAGTTTAAATTTTTTACTGTAAGAATAGCACGGGTATATGGGAAAGTATTATAGCTACCCAGGGATTGTGCTTCACAAAGCAATATCGTCGTCAAGTTTTCGTTTAAGGGAGATGCTTTCAGCCCAGCACATGATAAACGCCTATTTTTAAAGCATGAGTTTCTTTCACCAAAAATGCTTTTCACTTTGGTTTTGAACTTCAAATGGACACGTTAGTGATAATTGTTATATATATATATATTTTTTTCCCATACTCAGATCCTCCGCACTTTCATATCAATGTAAAACAACAGCATAGTTAGCCCCTTGAGATGTCATTTGGAACCATGTCATTCTGACAAGCTGTGCCTTGTATTTGGGGTGAATTAATTATTTCCTCCTCTCTCTACATCAACTTGGAAGATTACAGCATATATAGTTTCAGGGATAAGCTTCACTGTAAGTTGGAAGTACTATTTAATGACATTGTCAGTTCTGTTTCAAAGGGACATTATTTTTTGTGCGATAATTATCATTAATCAAAACCTCCTGTGTTAAGTGTTCTCGTTACCTGTATTCAAAGACCACCAGATCATCAGATCCTTCACAAAATACTTTGCCTGATGTATCCCACTGAATATTTACAGGAGTCCAAAGGAGTAGGTATTAACCCAGTTTGCCAGGAGGAAACCGAAGCTTTGAAAGCGGCTCTGAGAAAGTGGCCCAGCTGGGAATCAAACTCAGGTCTCCTGTACTCCAACAATCCCAGAACTCCCGCGGTGGATGACTGCCTATGCTGACAAGGTTGGTGGAGAAAGCAAAGTGACCACGTTGTTCTGGTTAAGCCTTTTGCTGTGTGGGATCAGTGAATTCTGCGCACCAGGTAAAATTCCAAATCAGGACCATGTGTGTCTGAATGGGCCTGATTCCTGAAGATGACGATTGGCTTGTAGGTTTTAGCAACGGTTGAAACTAGCATGAGGATTTAAAATACAATTCAGTAACCACTTGAATTCTATTCTAGCTAACACAGGGCATTGCTCCCCAAAATGAAAATCCCAACAGGTGACTTAAGTCACCTTGTTGGTGGAGTGGCCGGAGGACTGTAAGTGGTGTGTCCTGCTTTATGGTTTCAGTGACGAGCCTCACACTTCCCTCCCATCCCTCTCACCAGTGGTGACAAAGTCTGCCCAGGATGTTTCTTACCCAGGTATTACATTCAGAGGCATATTGTGCCATTGGAAAACAGGGAAAGGAAGCCAACAGATGCCTGGGTGCTGAAGATGCACTAATCTGCAGTTTGAATGACGAGTTGAGAGTGAGTTAAAGGAACTTGAGACAGGAAGCTCACTGGCCCTGCCAGGGTTGGGGGTTTAAGGTTGGATAGGGTGTTGGTCTGAAACTTCCTTCCCAGGTTTTAGAATCTGAAGGGGAAGTTTGAGAAATTTGCAGACTGTCCAAGGTCTGATTATAGGCAGCAGATGCAGAGTCGGAGTGAGCAAACAAGTATGGGAAAAGCTAAGCGCCGACAGCCCCCACAGCTCACCACTGAGCTCTCAGAACGCCCAGGATAGTTTGTCTGAACAAACTATAAAGGATGTACCAAAGAAAGATGGGTTCAAAAACGACCATGAGCTTGGGGGAGAGGAGTTTTCACGCAGCTTTGCTAGCGTCACCCCAGCAAGCCTGGCTCACGTTCCTTTCTTCCAGGTCCATTGCAGATAGCCAGGAACTCCTAGTAGAAGAGCACCAGCTGATTCCATTTGTCATCAGGTGTTCCGTTTGAATTTGATGGGTGGGTGGGTGTGTGTAACAAGGCCAGCCCCGCCCTGCGTGGCGTGCAGAGATGAAGCCGCCTGCTCTCCGCACCACAGCCTTGTCCTCTCCCACTTGGCTCTCCGTTGATCTCGGAGAAATCCCTCTGGAACCCCAGGCTTCTGCATCGCATCCTCATCCAGAAACTGGAGGTCATTCTACTTCTCAAAACAATTCCCCGACAGCTAACTGCGGGGACTTGTGATTGCCGAAGGAAAATAAGTTAAGCCTGCTCAGCTGGAGTTCCTAGGACCCTTCCTTCTACCTCACCCCACCTGACCCCGCCCCACCCAGGTAGCTGCCACCACGCTCTGATGCTTATCACCTAACCTCTCCCTCGGCACCCGTCCGCCTCCTTGTCTGTCGTAGATTTCTAACGGGGCAAGAACGCCAGTTTTGTCGCCGGGGCTCCCTACACCCCCATCCGCAGCTGGGGGCTCCAGAACGGATCCCTTAGACGCCAGCCCCTTCTTCCCCCGCCCCCCGGCTTCTCTCCTCTCACTCTTCACCCTCGGTCTTCAGAGTTTCTCACACGTGAATGGATTTTCCGGGCTGATCTCCAGGACCTTGCAGGCTTTCAGCAAGCTAAGCGCGCGAGGTCGTGCGGCCCCGGCGGGGACCGGCCTCCCGCCCCCTCCCGCTCCCTCCCGCCCTCCGCGGTGCAGCGCGGTGCGGTGGCCGCCTCCCCAGCCGGCTCGCGGGGCCGGCCGCGCACACCCCCGCCCTCCAAGCAGCAACGCTGCCGCCTTTCCACCGGAGGACTGGGAGGACGCCGGAGTCTGCAGCGCCCCCGCCCCCTCGCTTTTTTTTTTTTTTTTTCCCTTTCTTTCTTTCGCGGCTTTGGGATCCCGGCTGCCGGAGCGGAGAGAGCTGCTGAGAAGCGAGAAGAACGACGGACAGGAGCGCACGGTGCCGCGGCGGCGCGCGCGCCATCAGCGCTGGGGATCCACAGCCCCGGCGTCCCCCTCCGGGTCGTTGGCGCCCCGCACCCGGGAGGCTGAAGAAGGAAAAGCCCTTGGCGCCCCGGAAGGGGTCCCGGAAAGCATCTGCAGTCCCTTGGCCCGCAGCGCCGCGGGACGCCAGCTTCCAAGCGCACCCCGTGCCGGATCCCGCTCTTCGAAAAAAGCGCGGCGAGGACCGAGACCGGCCCCGCACAACTCCGGGGCCAGCCACGCGCCGCTGGACCGAGTTCCGCTTCTTGCCAGCTCGTTTGGAGAGCCGGGCAACCCGCGGTGCTGACGGGCGCTCCCCGCAGCTCTGGCTTCTGCGCACCTGCGCGGAGCCCCCACGCCCAGGTGGTGAGCCCGCGAGGCTCGGGGTCCCCGCGGCCGCCAGGGCGCCCATGGAAGACAGCGCGCTGATCACCGTCGCCGTCCAAGCCGCACTCTGGGGTCCCTAGGCTCGCCCCGCTCAGCGGTATCGGAGCACCATGAAGTCCGTGCTGTTCAGTCGCTTCTTCATCCTCCTGCCCTGGATCCTAATTGTCATCATCATGCTCGACGTGGACACGCGCAGGCCGGCGCCCCCGCTCACCCCGCGCCCCTACTTCTCTCCGTACGCGCTGGGCCGCGGGAGCGCTCGCCTCCCGCTCCGCAGGGCCGGCCCCGGGCGCGGCACGGAGAAACGCAACGAGTCTCGGGCCCAGCCACCGCCCCAAGCGCAGCTGCCCACCATCTATGCCATCACGCCCACCTACAGCCGGCCGGTGCAGAAAGCCGAGCTGACCCGCCTGGCCAACACGTTCCGCCAGGTGGCGCAGCTGCACTGGATCCTGGTGGAGGACGCAGCGGCGCGCAGCGAGCTGGTGAGCCGCTTCCTCGCGCGGGCCGGGCTGCCCAGCACGCACCTGCACGTGCCCACGCCGCGGCGATACAAACGGCCCGGGCTACCCCGCGCCACGGAGCAGCGCAACGCCGGCCTCGCCTGGCTGCGCCAGAGGCATCAGCACCAGCGCGCGCAGCCCGGCGTGCTCTTCTTCGCCGACGACGACAACACCTACAGTCTGGAGCTTTTCCAAGAGGTAAGAGTCGCTCCACCGGGACAGGGAGGGAGCCGGGGCACCGGGGCAGGAAGGGGCCGCCGGCCGGCTGGGGAAGCCGGCAGCTGCGCTCCCCTCATCTCGTGCGTGGGCTGCACTTTGGAGTTCTCAGCTCTCCGTCCGCCTTCGGGACTCGGGTGGAGCCGCCGCTCAGCTACTGTCCCCAACCCCTGGCCATGAGGAGGAGGTGGGTGAGGCGACCACTGTAGATTTACCGTCTAGAGATAGGGTGGCGGGACTAACGCAGGTGTAAGGCGCAGGGACCTGGCTCGGATCCGTGTACGCGTTGGAGCCTGGGGAAAGAAGGGCCGGTATGGCTAGGCTGCTCGTGCGCTGATGCCCTCGCGTGCCTGCAGGTGTGAGGCACACCTGTTGAGCTTGTGACTGGCAGTGAACCTGCAGTCTTTTTCTCCTGTTGCCCTCTGCGTGGAAGTGGTTGTAAGTGAAACACTAGCGTCTGTCGAGGTCTTTTCTACACTCCAGGGGAAAGTCCCATGGACCCCCATGAGTAGCTGTCTCGAGAATACCCTCTATAGCCAAGGAGTTGAGACCGTCCTGCCAGGCCATTTCCATACCTCCCACTCTCCTCCAGGTTTCCTTAACAAGTTAACAAGGCCATAATTGCACGGGCCTCTGCATCCTGTTGATGTGGGTGTGGTCTCTAAGCCTTGGAGTGTGCTCACGGGTCGCCTGGAGTACTGAGTGGGATTTCGATTCTACGTTGTGGTGTGTGTAGTAGCAACAGCAGCAGTAATTATCTGCAGATGAGGCTGGGTTGTGAGGTGTTGTCAGCTGTCAATTGGAGCAAAGCGGAATCTCGAATTCCTTGTCATCCCCCAAAATTGTTGCTTCTTTGCACCTGAAATCCTTTGAATTCTTGCCTCTGAGATCAACTGCAGCCTTCTAAACTGGAGGTTGAGAAAATACTGAGCTAGACACTGAGAACTCCGTGAGTGAGCTAAGTGTCAAGTGAGCAGCTAGCCTACATACACACACACACACACACACACACCCCTTTTCTTAACCTCAGGCGGAGCTACTCTGCATCCTTCCAGGTTAATTTTTCTGTCTGCCTGGCTTTTAAAAATCCATTTCTTAGAGGTAATTGCTGACTCCTTCACCTTCATCAATAAAAGACGCAGTCGTTTCCATCTTCTCCCCCATTTCGCTGCGTAGTGCTTTTTTCCCCCATACGTGTCCAAAGAAATAAGCTCACCATTTTTATGGGGTAGTCTTTGTTATAAGTCAGGTTAAAGGTACCGTCTGAGTTTGAACTTAGACTTTTGTTTTGATCCTGCGTCAATGCTTTCTCCAGAAAGAAGGGGCTTGTATCCTGAAGCGAATACCTTCATGTTTCAATGCCCCATCATTTTAAAATGCAATGTCCCCTTCCTATATAAATTAGAAATGGCCTTTCCTGTGAAGCAGGTGGCCTTATTGAGGTATAGCGCACCTCAGCATTAATCTGGTTGGTTGGGCTGGATTGTGAAATGGTACCAGCTGTTGGCCCGTTGCTGTAAGGTGGCAGATGGTGGGAGAGTGGGGCACACACAGGCACCACAGCATGGTTCACGAAACAGTCTTCCTTGGTTGTTTCCCGAACTGAGCAAAGGGCTTGGTGGTAGGCATTGTCAAGCTGCAAGAAGAAAAATAAATGAAGGGTTTTTGTTTGTTTGTTTTTGGGGGGAGGGGTTAGTGATCCACAGATGGTAGAGGAGCTGATGAAGAGGAGAGGAAAAAGGAGAAGTAGTATGGACACAATGGAAGGTATAATGAAATTTCCAAGATACTAACATTTTATCTGATTGGAAATAATAAAACTCGTTAATCTTAAAATGAGGATGGAGAAGTATCAAGAGTGTTTTTTATTTGGAGAGGATTGTGGTCGTGGACTTGACTCTTGAGTGAATAGCACCTTTCTTTGCAGTAGACCCCTCGCACACCCGCCAGTGATGTTTTCACCAGGTTAGACCCCTCTGCCATCATGTGTGTTGATACCATTTTCTTTACCAACACTCCCCTCCCTGCTGGCATGAATACCAAGCCCCACTGAACTCATTAATCGGTGAAATTTTTAAAATCTTTTCTTTCTGAGAGATTCCATCAGCTGATTCACTCCCCAAATGCCTGCAACAACTGGGGAGGCATAGCCAGGTTAGGCCATAGCCAGGGCCCCTGAGCTCCTTCTAGGACTCCACAGGAGTGATGGGGCCCCAAGCACCTAGGCCGTCACCTGCTGCCTCTTAGGGTGTGCATCCCAGGAAGCAGAGCCCAGATTCAAAGCACTCTGATGTGGGATGTGAACTGGTAAGCTTCATCTTCACCACACCACCAAGTGTCCACTCGCTACATTAGTGGAATGTGTGTATTCAGGATGTGGGCACTTTCCAGAATTTAATGATCCGTTTCTATCTTTAGCTTTTCAGTAGAGTGATGTATCATACTTGTGCACCATACTTGTGCTTGGATGATTCCTCATGGATTACGGGGTAGATGCTATTCATGCGAGAAAAGGATGAGTGGATGAAGCTCAAAAAAACCTGCAGCGTCTTGGGGAAAGAAATGAAAATGCTAATGAGGGAGGCAGTAGGCCTGAGGCATCCTCCTATTTCCCAGTCCTTTATATTGTGCATGCACACACATTTTTAAGTAGTTCACAGTACTTAAGAAAATGTCCCATGTCAGGCTTCATTTTTTATTCTCAGCGCTTCTAATTTCCATGGTTGATGTTAAAAGTAGATAAGATAAAAGGAAAAATGAACCAGGTACAAATTAGCTCACTATGTATTGGCTGCCAGTGAAGGAAAGGAATGGATGAAAGGTCTCCAAATTAAATTAGAGACACAACAGGCAACCTGGGCTTAATTATTCCTCCTGAGAACTGGAAGGGTATTTTTTTTCCCCCTCCCATGCAGCTAACTCATTTTCAGCCTCCTTTTTCAACTGAACTATGCTGCCAGGAAAGAACTATTTGCACTGAACCATCCTGTGTTAACAGCCAAATCTATTTGCAAGTGATGCTGAGTGTATCTCAGACGCTGGGCTCACCCCTGGAGGGATTGGTAGGAGTGCTTTCATTTCCTCGCCAACCCTGGGCTTTCCTGTGGGCACTCGTGTGGTTGTGTGCAAGAGATCCCAGGTAAGCCTGCCTGCCTGCACATCCCATCGATCCAGCTCTCTAGAACCACTTATTTGCAAAGGAGTTAAGCTGCTTTAATAAAGGCCACACTACAGATCAACACGACTTGCTTGCTTGTCGTATTTTCAATAACAATAACAAGTATTGACTAGCCCTCTGTTCTTCACTAGGAAACCTTTAAAGATTTCCCTCACGTGGATGCTTTTCAGGTGAAGTTCACCTTTGGAAAACAATTGTAAGGTTAAAAAAATAGCACTTTCTAAGCAAGCACAAAAAGCTTGAGTATTTTTTAACTCTGAAGTAAGACTGGAAGACGGACAAACTCTGAGATATTTGGCGTGAGTGAAAGGAGCTAATAAATCTTCCATCTTGAAGGTCCCTGGAAAGCAGGGAGGTCAGAGGCCCCTTGTTAGAAGTTTTCTGTTGCACATTCTTAAGCTTGTGTGTACTAGAACGGTAAAGGTGGAGTTTAATTCTGTCTTGTAGATTTTCCTTTGTAGATTTTGCTTTGCGCTTTACAAACTTCTGGCTGAGCGCCATGGATATTTGCATTCACACTGTTCGATACTTTTCCCTCTAAATAGTAATTCTGTGTAGGTCTTCTGAAAGGAAACTTCAACTTATATATACTACACTCCTAAACAGTCACTTGAATTGGGATAATTGTATTTTTAAAGCTAAGAAACCTGTAAATTCCCTTCAGTGGAGTATAACATTTTCCCTGAAATATGCCCCTTATATTTTATTTCTCTCCTTCTAAAAATGCATTAATAGTAGTGCCATAGGTCTGATAAAATATGAGAATTTTGAAACAATGTGTTTATAAAACGGTGTCAGTTGTCTTTGCCTGCAGAGGTTGAATTTGTAGCTCTCCCTGGGTATACAGTACTTGAACTCCATCTTGTTTTTGAGTGTATCCTTTGGGATTAACAGTTTTCATTTGACCTTTGATGTTTTAATGGACCAAGAGTAACAATTCGGGCTTAAAAGACATCCTCCCTTCCTCCTTTTCTTGTTATCTTTTCTCATCAGTCTTCCGTGTAGCCTACTTTTTCTAATACTGTTTCGGTACTAGATACATTAATATGTACAGATCATTGTTTGGTGTGATAAACATTGTGTCTTTTCACCAGATAAGCTGTTTGCTTCTTCCTTAAAGCTAAAAAGGGTGGCTCCATTTCCTTCTGTCTTCTCTGCTTCTAAATTACAGGCTGGTGAATTTTATCATGTGTGAACAGTAATGAAATAGTATTTCCATCTTATTAAGTGTTCCAGTTGGGACGCAAATTATGTGGGATATTTAGCATCAAATTCAATAATACTCAGATATAACTACTCCAAACCTTTTGAACTATGATGGAATGTTTGTTCATTCTGTGGAAGTTAACACATTATTGTAAATTGATTTGCAGTGCTATTGATGTATGAAATTTATATTTTGCATGGCTCTCAAATTTCCCCCCAAAACCAAAAATAAAATCTGCCATCTATGGAGTCGGATTATAATAGGTTTCTAATTCACAGAAATCAGCAAGACAGCTGATCATTCATGTCTGATAATCTTTGTGCACAATTTAGAATAAATGTTAGCTATTTCCTTTGCCATGAATGTAAGTAAAACCTAGTTGACATTAACCAAATATTTACTATGGGAATATTTCCCAACCTTAATGTTTTTGCACATATTAATTTAGTCCTTACAACACGTCCTATCCTAATGTAGCAGACCCCCCCCTGCCCACCGTAATACTGATATGTAGGCATGAATACAGTCCTTGGGTAAGTACAGAGTTTGTAACAAGTACAACCTGTTCATAAGGTAGTTGTCTAAACCTCTAAACAG